GGAGAGCAGTGGGAAGCAGAGAGAATGAAAATAGAGAGAGGAACCATAAGGCGAGGGGGGGACAAAAAGATCAATTTACTTCCACGTACCTTGCTCAGCTCATTCCTCTCATCATAGCTGGCGGCTTACTGCACTCCACCTGAACGTTTTAAAGTTGCTGAGACAACTAGGAGACCTTTTATTGTGTGTGTGTGTGTGTGTGTGTGTGGTTGTGAAAGAGGTTTGCTTTCCCAGCCAGCAGGATGCCTGTTGCCCCAGAGGAGAGGCGTGGGTCATACACCGCTAATTGAGCTGACTCAAGCTAATGCTAAAAGCTCTCCAGTGGGAGTTACACATCTGAGCTATTTCCTGGTATTTCCTACTCGCGTTAAAAGGATTTGTACGTAACATTTTGATTTCAATAAATCATGCGGTTCATTAGTTGTGAGCCGATAGGGCCACTAGCTTTTGTTGGCCTCTGCACTACATTTCTAAATGTTTTGCCAGTATAGATTTGGCGGGAAAACGACTACTACTTTTTAACAGACAGAAGATGAATTACTTCCAGTTCAAATTGAGCTACCGTGAAGAGTTTTTCTCAATTTTGGATGGACAAAGTGAAAGTCTGTATCATCGGACTGATAACTTTTTTTGTGTGGGGAAAAAAATAGCCAAAAACAAGCTGTTTGCTCTGAAGTTGCAATATAGAAACGACCAATGGCATTTAATTGAATTCAGTATGCCAACATAGACCAACATAAAAATATGAGAAATGTGTTAAACCCACTGGGACCTGGCACCTATATCCTAACTAATGCTTGATTTATGCATTTTCACAGGCTACTTCTTGTCGTAGTTGCATACAGAAACTGACGTCTGTGGGTTATTTGGTCTAAATTTTACAATATGACTTGATCTTCCATTATAAAAATCTGCAAAGACCAGTGACAACCCAATAAGTGGCGTATTTATATTTTTCAACAACGCACATGAAAGGCCAAAATTGCTATCTCAGTAAAAGTGAACACTTGTTAGTCTTCTACTGCACACTGCCTCGAATAAAATGCCAATTGACAATCAGCTTTGTATGGTTAAGAAAAGTGTTTTTAATTAAGAAAACTACCCGACCCCTCGATAAAGATGGATTCAGTATTCCAACAGTAAACTCACAGTTACGTGACACAGGAATAACGACCAGACAGAAATTTAAAGAAATTAAGTGAAGGAGACTTAAACCGCAGTATTCATTGGTAAATAGTCAACTCTGCTTTTTTTTAAAGATATCTGGCTGTGCAGAGGCAATAAAACTGCCTCAATACATTACCCATGAGTGCTTCCACTCCCACATTTATCATGACCAGCTGAGAGACTGTTAACATTATGAGAATATTATATTTACTTGTTTACCTTTTGTATTTGCAGTTAACACAACGGCAAAAAGAGGCTTTTTAAATCAGCTTTCCTGGTGAAAGTAGAGGGATAAGGGAGCACTAAGTACAGTACTTCACTGGATATCGTATGTGTGTCTGGAAAGGCACACACACTGCTGCATGAACCGTGTTTGAGCCTTTGGAGGGGGGCACTATATATGTTAATGTCACTGAAATGGTCTCAAAGTGTGTCAGTACCTGAGAGGATCGTCTGAGTGAAACTTTCTAAAAATGTTTCTTGAAGAGAATAAAAAAAAAGAAGCTTTATCATCAGAAGGGTTGAAGAAATAAGAGGCAAAGTGTATCAGAAGAAAGTGAAATTGTAGAGTAATAGTTGCATAAGTTTGTTTTGAATGTGAGGTGGGGGAAGAGGTTTGGATGTTTAATACTTTTATTTTCTCTTCTCTTGTTGTCCGCTTTGCTCTTCTGAGCCTTTTGCCTTCTGTGTCTTCAACTGAAAAAAGAAAAGAAGCGAAAACACTGGCAACAGCAGACTATGTGCATTGCTCCGTATCCAGCATCATTAACACTGGGCTACTGTTAACAGTTGCTCCAGCAACTGAAAATATCAATTAAAACCATTATGATAATTACCTTTCAGTGCCCTGCTCATGTTGAATCGCTAAATTAGTCAGCCAGTAAAGAGATTGAATGGAAATGGCAACATTTTGGAATAAACAAGCCCCCCACTCTTTGGTAAAATTAACATACATCATGTATCTTTCATGCTGCTCCTACAGTTTACACAGTAAATTCTGCTTCTGTTTCATTTATCAACAGTGGACACCCCCTGTTCGCCAACTCTACAGTATCTGATCCTTTAAACATGCTAATTGTATGATAATTAATTGTCCTGTTCATTCATAATTTAGCACACAATTCCTCACACAGAAATGAGCATTTTTGAACTGCAAAGCACATCTCACACCATCTTAGGTGAGGAATTACATTTTTTAGCTAATGGGTGTCTTTTATTAGCACACTAGCACGCACACACATTAGTGAAGTGTTAAATGGCACATTTTCCCCCAGGGAATCTGTTCCAGGCAGAGAAAATGTATTTTCCTGTAGTTCAGTGAGGCATGGAGAACCTGCTTGTATGTGTGTGTTCTTGTGTGTGGATCTGTGTGTCTGGGCTCATTAATCCCCATCCAATCGGCCATGACATGTTCATTAGCCTGCTGTCCGTTTGCATTGTTAACGCTAAGCCTTAGCCGGAGTTATAATATGCGTGTATGTTTTGTTGTATGTATCAGTGTATGTTTATTTGCATGTGCGAGCTCATAATAAGCACGAGTCCAGAGAGAAGACGACTTTAGTTGTTAGAAAGAAGCAGAAGCCAAATACACAAAGACCAGGCGGGAGATAAGTGTGGGAATAAAGACATGCTTAAAGGGTGAATAGGAGAAGTTGAAGCTCCTATTAAACTCATTAAACATTAGATGGCTTGCAAAAGAACACACACACACACACACCCACACAAGCACATCCTCAACCTCCCACTTTGAAACACTGCAGAGTCACATTAGAGCGGTTCCATCATTCTGGGTTGATTGCTGTTTCATCTCATTTATTTTGGGACCCTTTTCTGCTTGTTGTTAAGCCTGCGGCAAAGTAAACACTACAGGTTCTGTCTTTGTGCGGGCGCATTGCGCAAAGTGTTTTTTTTAAACTTTACCAATAGGTCATGGAAGCTTTTGATTACAAAGTGGTCATAAAAAATGTATAAATACAAGTTTTTTGACAGCAAGCTTGTGTAATGTTCCTCCACTTCCCAGTCAGGGTTATTCCCTGTTGGGCTCATACATCATCGTCCTATTCCCTGTTGCCTTTTCAGCTGTTGTGATCTTGTTTGGTTAATGTGTTGGTCATTTAAAAATCCCTGGTCTCTGCAGGATGCTGCTGCTATGGTGTTATTCCCCGCTGAAGAGGAAAAAAGTCGATCTTACTGCTGTATCGCATTCTGGTCTGTTGAAGCTGCTGTGTTTGGGACTTCACTTTCTGTGCCTCCTTATATACTGTATATATTGGATTTCTCCACGTATAGCCCTGTTTGCCTGACTGACTGTGTGTGTGAAAATGTCTTGATGTGACCTTTGTTCATCCCACTTATTCAAGAGAACACACAGCAGAACAAAGTAACCTTGAAAGTCCGGTACAAGAGTTAGATGAGAGGATCAATACCACTCTCATGTCTGTATGTTAAATATGAAGCTACAGCCAGCACCCGGTTGGCTGGAGACGGGGGGGCTTGTTCCAGAGGCAACACCTATAAAGCCTGTATCGTGTTTATTTAATCTGTCCTAAGACCAAAGTGCAGAAACATAATGTGGCCAACAATTTCTGGACTGGAAGGAGTGACTGCGCCAGGATAGCTTTCCCAGTATTTGTGCTAAGCTAAGTGTTCCCTCAGTGTCATTATCTGTCGGTCTCCTCCCTTCATAGCTGTATTCCTTCTTTCCCAACCTCTTTCATCTCCTACTTGAAAGCCATCACATCATCCTACTATCATTTATTTCCTCCGTTCTTTGTTCCTTCCCCTTTCTTTCTCCAGTGTTTCCATATTCTCTCATTGGCGTTTCTAACCTAAAGCATTTCCCTGCTTTAGGTTTGCTTTTGTTTGTCATCTCAGTTTAGTTCAGTCGATCTGAGGACCTTTCAAAGCCCAGTTTGAGTGCACCATGCATGGAAAAGGAGCCTTCTTTCTTCTCCTTCTTTCATTTCCTCTGCCCCTCACTTTCTCTCTCGGGGTTCAGTTTGTGTGCCTTCAGTTGTACACAAGACGGTAAAGGTCTTGTAAAGGTTGTCCTGTCATGTGTCTGTCTCTTATCATTTCAGGGTGGTATTTTGCCTTTAGGGTTCACACAGTATTGATTTGCTTTGCCTACATCCTCCAACACCAGCAGGGTTTTGACTGCCTGAGCTGTTTGTGAAGCATAGCAGCAGGTTGTTGAGAACGGCAAATGCCTCATTATGTAAGATGTGTTTACCAGATGCCAGTCTACAGTTTCGGTTGTCCTCTGCCTCGCTTTTTTTCCTCTCACTCTCTCACTTGCAGTAAGCAAATCATTATGTCTCTCTCTCTTTAGGTCTCTCTCTCTATTTACTGCTGTAATTTTACATTACATAAACAATGTTAAAATCTATATATCTGATTACGTCACACACATTGTCAAACACAGTGTCAAAATGAATGAGTCTGAGTTTGTGCGTCATGTGAGACTAATTCAGGGAGCAGACTGCACAATATTTTGGAAATTCAATGCCTCAGCACATGGCAGACTACACAACCAGGGACCCACTTTACTGTTCCAGCCGACAGCACTAACATCACTCCAACCTATTTTGCTTTGCCAGGTTTACAGTTTATACGTGTAGTGCTCCTTCTGTGTGTGTTAAGAGTCATGAAGAGGTCGTAAAAGTTGCACTAATCAAGACACTGGGACTCATTCTAGTTCCTGATGTCCTCTGTATGATTAGGTTGGGTCATTATCTGGCTGATGTCATGTAGTTTAATGCCAAAATCACCATAACAATAACTACCACATGCTAAAAACTTAATTGTTTACCTTCTTTCTGTCTTGTATCCAGCCCAAACAGCGCACCTCTCTGTCTTCGTCCCTTGACGTCCAGAGGCCAGTTAACCACAGCTGTGAGCCCAGCGAAGTGAGCTCATCCCTGGGCTACGCCAGCTTCAGCACCAGCCCCCCTGCCAGCCCTCCACTCAGCCCCAACCAGGAGGACTCTGCAGGCTCCAACGACGACTGTCCACTCACAGGTAAGACTCGGGCCAAGAGAGCAATTAGTGGCAAAAGCTGTCTCTTAGCCAGAAGTGAGAATGAGTGTTGGCCCTGCTGGAATACATCCTACCCTGACCTCTGACCTCCATGTGGAGGAGGATCAGCAGAAAAACAAATATCTCCTCAAGGGGAATATCACAATAAAAAAAAAACTATTGCTATCAATTGTCTTTGTTTGCTGCACAGACGCAAAGCAAAGCAATTTAATCAAAAACTTTTCAAGACAGAGATAATTAGGTTTCAAGTGAATGTTGTTTATTGTTTTTTCTTAATCAGTAATTTGGTCTGCAAAATGTCAAATATTCAAATAGAATTTACTTTAATAGAATACTAAGAAGAGCAGCACATATTTAACATTTGTAAAGCTACATCCTGCAAACATTTGCACATTATTTCCATTTCAACCCACTAATCAATTCATTGTCTAATCATATAAGTTGAGTGAAATCAGTTAATGCAACATGGAAATGTGTGGAAGTTCCACATGTCATGTATATTAGCCAGCTGGTGACTTAGTAAGTGGTTGAGTTATATCGGCCCCATTCAGTTACGGCATCAATAATGCATAAAGCACACATTTACTCTGAAAGTCAATATATATATAATATATACCTTTGGCCTTGTGCATTCATCTCCTTACTTATTAGTCGACTCTTTCTCAGGCCATTTGGTTTTATTCCTCCTGTTGAAGCCCTCTCTTTTATTCTGCCTTTTGTTGCCTCAGTTCAGGTGTTGTTATAACTCCTTCAGCCGGGAAACCAAATGAAACTTTAATCCTCTTGCCCTGGGTCCCAGGAAATTGAAATCATATTTCTGCTCCTGTCATACTTGAGACCAGAGCCAAGAGGCAAACACCTTAGAGGCTAACAACAGATCTTAGAAAGAACCGCTGGACTGGTCGGGCTGTGGAGTGGAGAGCACACCTGTCAAAGGGGAATTGGTAATGTGATTCAGAATGTGCTGAAATAGACCAAAAATATGCTTTATAATATTAGTTCCAGAAATAATTTTGATGTTTTTCAGCCTACAGTGCTACGTTAGCCACACCGTTCTAATCCAAGGAGGTTGAAACAAGCACAGAGAATAATTCTTCAGGGGTTTGACCTTTTAGATAAAGTCATGTGGGTTTGACAAATGTATGGCCACGCAATGTGATTTATTAATTCTAGGCCTACTGGGATATTCGGAGGGTTGAAGAGCATCAGGAGAATTTCACTGTGCAACGGCCTTGTAACAGCAGAAAGAGCCAGTTGATTTAAATAGGTTTCTACTCACAGCCACCATAGCTGGCGAGCTAACTGCTAACACACTAGCCACCGGGGAACAAGACACTAGTACCAGTCACAATAGCTCGAGCTGGCTCGGTCGCTAATGGGACAGTAAGATCATACAGTCTATTATAAAGACATAATTGTCCCTTTGACCCCTGTCCGATAACTGTCAACACTCTCGTCTTTTGTGGAACAGTTTATACTCCAACAGTGGAGGTTAAATAAAAGCAGATGGTGCCACACAGCTGGTAAGTTACGATAACATTTTATATTCTCTTCACGTCCCCACAAATGTCAGCACTCTCAAGACAGTTTGCCATTGTTCAACGATGTGAATTAGCTAAGATAAACACAATGCACGGGATCGCCTGTACAAGCAAATCCACCAATCGCAGGGTTTCCATTGAAATAAAGGGAGACATATTTATTGCAATGTAGTTGTTCTTCAGGTTTTGCTTTTAAAAAGGGACATTCGAAGGGGTTTTTTGAGGTGAAAACTATTCTTAACTTGTGTATTAGTCTCAAGTCTGTTTGACTGGAAATTAGGATGCAAACAAGCACTTTAAGGGGAAAACTCCACCGGATATCTTAAAAACTAGGCTCCAAGACATCAGCAAAGGATGCTCTGTAAGTCCTATGGGGAGTCTCTTTTACTGTCAGACCAGATGAAATAATGTTTCATCTAATGAGATCCCCCTGGTGAGTTTAAAAGTTTCTCCTCCAAAAGGAATATTCCAGCGAACGAGGTGTTTTCTCATAAGAATCTCATAATGAGGGCAGTTAAGTCTTAAGTCTAAACATATTTTACGCACAGTTCATGACTTTTATGTATGTTCATATAATAAATACTAAATAATGCAACCATGTTTAAAACTCACCTGCATTTATTTACAGTATATTATTGTATATTAGTGTCTTAGGGACCCCTCTGTATCACCGTGCCATACTTTGGGAACCCCTCTCGACCTGGTTTACTCCCAACTTTCATTTCCTTTGTGTCATTTCCTAGTCACTCTCTTCATGTGTTACCATAGCGATAAGATTCTTTGTTGTCATGGCGAAGTGGTGGCCTTGGAGATAGATTGCTGGTGGCGTGGTCGTGAATACTTCCTCTTCTCTCACCTGGGTTTCAGTCCAACTGTCCCTCACACCCGCTGCTATCAGGCACCAACAGAAGAGGCAAAGCAGGGGAAGTCGAGCAGGCGGGAGGCATTTTCTGTGTCTGTGTGTGTGTGTGCGTGCGTGTGTGCGTTTATGTCTTTCATCCTGGAGCAGTTCAGAGGCCCGGTTAGACTTTGATCTGTGTAGTGCCTGGGACGAAAAAACACACTCATTATCAATCCACAGGTGCATGCACACACACACATACACGCACAGACAGACATAAAACTGAATGAGCCGTCTTTATCTGTTATTCTCACTGAAGCATTGCCGTGGTGTTTATGTAACAAGAGTGTGTTATTTCCCTATTGAACCTACATATAAGTGTTTGGGCCTTGACACTGAGGTCCTCTGAGGACAGAGACTGAGGAGCAGTTGTTGATCACACTGTTGCTCTTGTTGTTTTTAATTTGTAACATGATAGCTTTATTTACTGTATATCAGAATAATTTTTGAGAATGTTAAATTGTGGATGCATAAGATTTCACTTAAAAGACTTAAAAGAAGATGTTCATACTTTAATGTGGATGCTAATGGTCAGGTTTCTCATTATTAGTGATTATTAAGGATGGTTATTGGATTTTATTAAATACAGTTACAGCATATCAGTACTGATACTTATTGGTACTCCTTGCTAATTTTATTTATTGATAATGATATAAAATGGGCATCAGAGCCACTTTGGAAAGCTTGGAAGGAGTAGTGCCCCATTATTTTTACTTACTTACTTTACGCAAAATAACTGTTACACACATACATTTTGTGTTAGCTATATACATTTTACAACATTTCACAACATTTCAACCTGTCTGCCATAACTTGGTCACACAATGCTTTGTTTTGTCTTTATTTTAAATTGATTAAATTTAAATAGTTATTGCAGCACCAACAGCCCAGAAATCTGTATTTCAGTACTTTTTTTAATTTTAATGTTGAGTAACAAGGTCGAAAAGATTCTTTAGACTTTCTAAAATGTTGCTTATGTTTGTTAAGTGCATCTTTGCTTTCATTGTAGCCTGAAAGCATCAAATGTGACAGTAACAACTTGCAAATCAGTTATTATTTCTCTTCTGTTATTTTGGATATTCTTCAATCAAACCACCTTGTACATTATTACATTACATAACTAGTACATTATTTGCAATGTTTGAAAAGTTCCTGTAATATTTGCTTGAGGAAAATATGACTGTTGACACAGACATCTACACTTGAGGTACTGGAGGGGAGATCATCCTCATCATCTCGTCATCTTCTCTGTTGATTTTATTAGGAAAAACAGGTAAAACATACATTTACATTAAGAAATTATAAAGTCCTAATAATGTCTGCCCACCACCGGTATAGCAACACATTAAATAAGCACCACAGTACATTACAGGTACAACTTATACTGTATTTTAAAGATATGTACATCTATTTGTTTCTCTTTCACTATATGTCTCTCTCCCTCCAACACCAGGAATAGATTGGCACCACATTTTATTTCCATTTAATTTTTTCTCAATTTTTTTCCCCTCCTTCTCCTCCTCCTCCTCCTTCCTCTGCTACTCTGCTCATCCCTCCTGCTATTTCTACTTATTAGCTTTATAAGGCCCATTGTGGGGTTGCCATGGTAACAAGTGGCTTACAGAGAGAGAGAGAGAGAGAGAGAGAGAGAATGAGAGAAAGAGAGAGTATATATGTATGTGCATACAGAAGGCAAAGAGTCGCAGAATTCAAAGGATGCCAGTGAAAAAGAGAGTGGGTGAGGGAGAGAGAGAGAATGAGAGTCTAATGTTGCAAGGGGGAGGAGGGGGGAGGAGGAGGAGGGGTGATGAACAAAAATCTGAAAAATGGAGAGAATGAAATGTGAGATTTCACGGGGTTGGATAGAGAAATGAGCACAAGAAAGTGAAGGGAACACTTTTTCCCCCCCCTTTGCACACCATAAAAGGTCTTTCCTTCCTTCATCTCCATATCTGTCTCTCTCCTTCTTACTTCTCTCATTTTCTTCCTTAAAATCCCAAACCATTCTTTAACACCAACCTAATATTTATACAATAAATCTTCGGCCCTGCAGCAGAGTATGCAGGTGTCAGCCACCTGCGTGGGCAGTCGGATAAAAAGGAGGCCTATTTATAACCCGATCCATCACTGGTGCTGCAGTTGATGCTACGGAGCTACGGTTTACGTAATGTTGGACATTGCTCGGGAAGATATTCCCTCAGTGCCCCACAGTGCAGAGTGCCAAGTGCAATGCAGTGTTATGCAAAAGCAGTGCAAGTGTTGACGCAGTTGTCCTCCATGAATTATGCAGTGCCCCCTGCGACAAGTCAGTAACAAAAAGGCACACATTTACAGGTCTATAGATATTCATCTGGAAGTTGTTAAGAGTTCATAGCTTCTTATATGCACCATAATGTAAATGCGAGCACAGAATTTACTCGTAATACACTGTATGTTATATATTGCACAGTGTTTGTGTTATTTTTAATGTCATTTAAAGGGAAATTCCAGTATTTTCTTGTTTTTAAAGCTGCACTTCAATATTTTTATATAAATAACGG